ACACTTAAATATAAAAATAATCGTTATCGGTCAAACAAAAGCAACATCTATCAATCTCTGCCCTACAAATAAATAAATAATCCCATTCCACCACATAAACGTGCAACAGTCACTTAAAAGCCTAACACAAACTAAAAATAAACGACAAAACGCATTTCAAGAGGCATTTAAACATTTTGACAGGTCTCTCCCCTACCTACTGTACTGACTAGAGAATTTGATGGTCTCATGGAAACTGTAAACATTACAACTTTGCAAACAATAGCACTGATTTGTCTTCAATCTATAAGCAATCTCCTAGTACATACCTAGTTCTTCAAACATGTCACGCAACACTCTAATCCTCATGCATTGCATTGCATTGCATTGCATTGCATCGCTTAAGGCTGAAGGCGAGATGTTCCTGTATCTGCCGGACTGCCACATTGCAACTGAAGTCAACGCCAAACCAGTGTGCTCGTGTGTTTCCAGAGAAAGCAAAGAGCCCTACACTCCGCGCATGCAACGCAGCACTCATCACGCATCCCCTTACCGTTTGAAATGCCCACTTTCAGAGAGGTCGCGAAAATCCGAATCAACTGAACGCCACGGAAAGAACTTTGATGTCTCGTGAGCGCATCCTGCGCCGCTCGCGCTGCTCCGCCATCTTCAGCGCGCAAGATCGAATGAGCGAGAGCAGCGGACGGGCGCGAGGGCGGGGAGGGTTCTCTACAAAACAGCCCGAAGTTCTGAGCTCCTCCATCCATGCACTACACCCCTGTCGTGGTGTGCTACCTACTAGCTGTTTTTGCAGATTGATAAGGTGATTTTTGAATGAAACATTCTATCAGATGAACAATGTGTTTAGGTGATAAATTAAAAACAAATTAATGAATAACAAATGTAAATAAATTAATGAATGAATATAATAAATATTATTGTTATTATTGATAACATATTTATATTTGTATGAATAAAACTATTATAACTATTATAATGTTATATATTACTTGATGATTATGTTAATAAATTATGTAGCCTACACTCTTAAAATAAAGGTGCTTCACGATGCCATAGAAGAACCTTTTTGTCTAAATGGTTCCATAAAGAACCTTTAACATCTGAAGAACCTTTCTGTTTCACAAAAGGTTCTTTGTGGTGAAAGAAGGTTCTTCAGATTATAAAAGGGTAAGAAAGAGATTGTTCTTTAAAGAACCTTTGACTGAATGGTTCTTTGTGGAACCAAAAATGGTTCTTCTATGGCATCGCTTGAAGAACCTTCTGAAGCACCTTTATTTTTAAGAGTGTACTCTTAAAAAAAGATATTTGTCGAATCAGATGCTGTCTATAATAAGCAATGCCACCTGCAGACCAATCCCCAAGTACAAAATCATGGTTCATAGCTGTGATAACTAAATCAAAATGTGCAAAATAAATACATTTTTAAAAAGTAAGTTGTTTGATTTTTCTTAAAATCGATAGAAAAATAACCATATTAACCTGGCATCAGCTATTCATTGTTAGCGTCATTTTTAGTCATTCTTTTTTTATGAAGGACATAGGTACAGTTTATAAATAAAACATATTATTAATAATAACTATATATTTTACATCAAGTTCTTATGTTTAACAAACAAAAAAAGAGAGTAAAAATGATGGCTATATAACCCGTTTTCTGCCAACATAGTATTTACCGTCATGTAAATTTTGGTGACTTACTGGATTTGGAAGTTAAAAGTTAAAACTCATATTTCTTTATGGTAAAGACTATTTTATCATTTATTTTATCAACATTTATTTTGTGGAATTTTTTTTAGTATGTTATTTTTGCAGCACAAAACAGTTCAGTGGTAGAATATCTTATCATATTTACATTCTAACTATAATCCATTTCAAATTTATCAAATAATTTTCAAAAATGTATTTCTAATAAATATAAATAATAAAACCATGTGAACATGTGAATGCCACAAGAAGAGGTCACTTTATTTTGGCACTTGTCACACATTCAAATATTCAAAGCTTTTTTACAGAAAATAAAAGGCTTGGTAATGACTGAGAACATCAACATACTAACAGATGCTTGCATGACATGCAACAGACATCAGCCCTCTCCAGTGTGTCGGGGAGATGAGCTCTTTATCACGGCCCTTGATGAAGAGTCCCAAAGCTCTGATGCAGTTATTGGCCACTTTAAACAGTCTTCTGTGTAGTTTACTTTTAGAATGGCTTTTGAAGGTCTAAGCAGGCACCATCCAAAACACAGAAAGAAGTTAGTCTTTAGACAGGAGGAGCACTCAGTGCAGTCCAGTTTGCATTTAATACATCTCCAGAATAAACCTACAAGACCTAAGCAAAAAAAAAAAAAAAGTAGTGTAATTTGAGATCTAAACCAAACCACTTTTTTTTCTTCTTGCGAATCCATGATGAATGCGTATAGGACTAATGGTTTTTATAGCAATATAATGCTGTAGAAATATGCAGGCCCATCGGAAGGCATAGCTCCACTTACATTAAGAATACATGAATAATATATGCCTGTTAACTAATTTAGCAGGCAATTCCAGATTATTAGAAGAATCTGTAAGACAATATGAAGTGATTATAAAGCAGGCTGAATATAACTTTCTAATGTTAAGAACTGGCTTTCATTTCAGATCTTGCAGTAAACTGAGTCAGTGTTTTAGGGAGTGATTCTTATTTGTTGCACCCATAAAAACGGACATTTATGCCCATACGAAAATAGCAGCCAATGAGACATACCTGACAAGATAATCACTTAGACTTTTTAAATGTCAGTGATTCTTATTTGTTGCACCCATAAAAATGGACATTTATGCCCAATACGAAAATAGCAGCCAATGAGACATACCTGACAAGATAATCACTTAGACTTTTTAAATGTCATACTACTTTCACCCCAGCCATTTATATTTTACACAAATGGAAATCGTTCAAGTCCAAATGTGCAATCAATAAAACTGGCCTTACAAATTTGAACGTATTTGACACTTGGCTTTTACATTCTCAGCCATGCATCATCATCTTAGATGCCTATTGCCTTTTTTAATGACCAATTTTAAAGAGCCCTTGTTATTTACATTTTTCTTTCTTCTACAAAACAATCTTCCATTATTTGCATGAATATCACTGAAATTCTATTCTGTAATGAAGAAAGAGTCAAAAGGGGGTTAAAATATGACACAGACTGAAGAATCTTTTTCTAGATACAGCTAGATCAGGGCCCGTATTCATAAAACATCTTAAGGCTAAAAGTAGCTCATAACTCGCCGATTTAGGAGTAGTGAAGAGGACTCCTAAGTCACGAACATCAAACCACGAACTATCCTAAAATGGCTGTTGCCGGCAATCTGCCTCTGAATGTAAACATTTTAGAAACATTTGATGATAATGACCTTTTAAAACGGTATCGCCTTTGGTTTTTGGAGGTTATCCAAACTCTAAATTTTCCTTTGATTATATCCTTGTTTTCATTAACCAGTTGGGCAAGAAGTAACAGCTGTTCTTGCATCCAGGTTTTTTTTTTTTTACATTTGCATTGTATTACTATCAGCCATGATTGTTTTACTCTGTTAATTAAAAGGCTGTTTATATGCATATCCACTAATTGTTTTTGAGAAGCACATATGTAAGAGGCTGACAATTAGCTGAACATATACATGTTTAGTGGGGAAGTCGTGGCCTAATGGTTAGAGAGTCGGACTCATAACCCAAAGGTTGCGGTTTCGAGTGTAGCACCGGCAGGGATTGTAGGTGGGGGAGGGAATGTACAGCGCTCAATCCCACCTTCAATACTACGACTGAGGTGCCCTTGAGCAAGGCACCGAACCCCCAACTGCTCCCCGGCCGCCGCAGCATAAATGGCTGCCCACTGCTCTGGGTGTGTGTTCACGGTGTGTGTGTGTTCACTGCTGTGTGTGTGCACTTTGTGCTCTACAATATTTCTATGATTAAATCTCTGACAGAGACCCCTCCCCTATCAGCCAATCACTGTTCCTAAGCATGCTGGCATCCTCCATAGCAATGAGGTCAACCCCACCCTTACTCTTAGCTTAAGACTTCTCTCTATTCCTTAATTAAAGTTTGTCTCAGCAGCTTTGTGAATAGGTTTTAAGAGAAAACTTAACTAACAACTTTTACTGCTATTTAGGAGAACTCTTAGTGGTAAGATAAAATGTTTTGTGAATACGGGCCCAGAGGAAAAAAAAACACAATATCGCCACCCACTGGATGAAAACACACAGTCCACAGAACAAAGTACAGGAACAGTAAAGAGGCGCTACAAAATAAAATCTCATTATACTGACTGTCACCCAAACTTGTTCTTTCAATACATTAGAAGTGAGAAACCTTTGCACGGATAAAACCCATTATCAATTGCTATACTGCATTTACATAATGACACACATTGTATTGTAAATCACCATGACAAATAAGAGAAAAGTCACATTAGGTTTTTCACAATTATGAATTTAAAATACCATTTATGTCCTAAAATGTCTACTAAGACTGAGACAAAACAAAACAAAACATACTGAGTCATTTATCTTCAAGCGCTGTATGTTACTGCATCAAAACTGATACAGCGCATACTTGTTAAACCAATGTGTTAAATATTATGATTGACTGTACATGATTAAAATCAAAACTTCTAACTGCATTAGATGTATGACACATCTAGAAGACACATGGCTTTAAAGATCACTTCGACTGTTGCTATCTAAAAAAAAGCCTATGTGATTCATTTTACTTGTCTAATCCACAACACTGAAAATGTTTCCTTGAAGATTAGTGGAGGAGTTCAAGCCTTCTGTTAAATAAGGATAGTAGAGGAATCCATTCAGTTTTCTTCTGCCCCACAGAATAAGAAATAAACCTGCTTTTGCAGAGCTTATGCTACCATTCTCTACCATGCAGAAGGCCTGGGCAGCTGCATCGAATGACTATTAAATACAATACATACATTGACATGCACTGCAGGTAAACCAATGTGTTAAATATTATGATTGACTGTACATGATTAAAATCAAAACTTCTAACTGCATTAGATGTATGACACATCTAGAAGACACATGGCTTTAAAGATCACTTCGACTGTTGCTATCTAAAAAAAGCCTACGTGATTCATTTTACTTGTCTAATCCACAACACTGAAAATGTTTCCTTGAAGATTAGTGGAGGAGTTCAAGCCTTCTGTTAAATAAGGATAGTAGAGGAATCCATTCAGTTTTCTTCTGCCCCACAGAATAAGAAATAAACCTGCTTTTGCAGAGCTTATGCTACCATTCTCTACCATGCAGAAGGCCTGGGCAGCTGCATCGAATGACTTTTAAATACAATACATACATTGACATGCACTGCAGCCTCTGGACGGCACTAAACATTTTAAATGCACACTAGAATCACACTCTTTTAAAGGGCCAGTTCACCCAAAAATGTAAATTCCGTCATCGTTTATATGGGTTTGGAACTAGAGTGTGGGTAAATGATGACAAAACTTTAATGTGGAGGTAAACTGTCCATTTACCATCACACTGGTCATTCTACAGTGTCAACCTTCACAGACTCTGCGAGTAAGGACAGATCCTAATCTCTAAATTAAATGCTAAAGACATAAAACTGAACTGTACAGAATACAGAGGAATTAAGATCCAGGGTGTTCAAAGCTTATAGCAGGTGTCAAACACTCTCAGGATCTTGTTTTTCCTTTCACAGAGTCCTGGTTCTCTGAAGTGTGACGGGCAGGTGGTTTTCGGAGAGAGTTGTGCTTCAGTGCTGGAGAGGGGCGGTGCTGTGCGTCACCTGTTCGATCCAGGGCAGATAGCGGCTGACCCGTGAATATACACCTGGGTACGAAGGGTCACCACAGCCGTGACCCCAGGAAATGACCCCTGTCAGTACCCAGCGCCCTGCCTCACCCTGACACACTAGCGGACCCCCACTGTCGCCCTGGCAGCTGTCAGCATGCTTTCTGAGGTCAGATGTCATACTGCCAGCACACAGCATGTCGTGGCTAGTGAAACGCTCGCCGTAACGCTTCTTACATTGCCACGAGGGCAGAAGAGGTACCCAGGCCTGAAGAAGAGTGCTGGGATGCTCAGTGTCTGAAAAATAAGGGAAAAACCAAAGGTTGCAATCCATTTAAAGGGACAGCTGCTCAAAAATAACATTTCATTCCCCAATGTTGTTCCAAAACTATATGACTTTCTTTTGTTGAACACGAAAGTAAATATTTTGAAAAAATGTTTTTGTCCATACAATGAAAGTTAATTTTCTTTTTTTTTGGAAGATCTGTCTCTTTATAATAACTGATAAATATATAATATAATATATAGATAAGAATAACATGGAATGAATGGAATGAAGACTGTTCAAGTTTGGAATCTTACATTTATTTGTATGTTTTTGAAAGAAGTCTTTTATGCTCACCAAGGCTGCACTGATTTGATCATAAATCCAGTAAAAACAGTAATATTGTGAAATAATATTACGAATAAAAACTGTTATTATATATATAATAAATTGTAAAATGAGGGCAAAGTTTTATTTTCAGCAGCCATATATTCCAGTCTTTAGTGTTACATGATCAATCAGAAATCATTATTATATGCAGATTTGGTGGTCAAGAAACATTTCTTGATTCAATAGAAAGTTCAAATGTACAAATTTAATTTGAAATAAATATCTTTTGTAACAATATAAAAATCTTTACTGTTACATTTGATCAATTTAGTGTGTCCTTGCTGGAAAAAAGTATTAATTTCTTTGAAAAAAAACTTACTTTGCATAAACCTTTAAACAGTAGTTTATCACAGTTTCAACAAAAATACAATGCAGCAAAACCTGTTTTAAAAATGGACAATAATAAGAAATGTTTCTTGAGTGCCAAATCAGCAAATTAGAATTTCTGAAGGATCAAGTGACACTGAAGAATGAAGTAATGGCTGCTGAAAATTCAGCTTTCTCATCACAGGAACAAAATTAATACATTTAAAAATATATTTCAATAGAACACAGTATATTTCAAAATATAGCTGTTTTTACTGTATTTTTACTCCATCAAATAAATGCAGCCTTGGTGAACATAAGAGATTTCTTTCAAAAACATAAAAAAACTTAAAGATTCTTAAAGAACTTTTCAACGGATTTTTTAAATGCATTTCATATTGTGCCAATATTGTGCCCTTGTAAGAAAAGAACAACCCAATATTACCTGTCATTCCCCAGCCAGTGATGACACATGATGCAGGTCTCTTGCCCCACTTGCTTCCAGGTGCAGGCAGGCAGGCGGCATTAGTATGAGGGTTAAAGGACACGCACTTCCCCTCAGCGCCCTTCAGCCGGATCAGAGCCACGTCATGCTCCCAGCTCTCTGTTCGGTACTTCTTGTGCACTTCGATGCGCTCTGGAGAGAGGACACGTTCAAAATCATCCTGCTCCCGTGTGTTATAATCCCCGAGCTTCACCACGTACCATGAAGCATCACTTCCAAACCTGTAGAATCAAGACATTCATTCATATTACAGATGATACACTACCATTTCAATCATTCCGCTGCTAATCTCATTTTAAGTGTTGAGTGTTACTTTAGTGCTGATTTACAGGAGCTGTCTTATGTTAATCATTCTAAAACTAATTACAGAAAATTACAGAGCAATGATTTGTACACATAAATATGTACATTAACGTTCAAAAGAGAGGTTGATAAGATTTTTTAATGTTTCCGAAAGAAGTCTCTTATGCTCACTAATGTTTTATTTTTATTTTATTTGATCAAAAATACAGAATACAGAAATGTGACCCTGGAGCACAAAACCAGTCTTAAGTCGCTGGGGTATATTTGTAGCAATAGCCCAAAATACATTGTATGGGTCAAAATTATAGGTTTTTATTTTATGCCAAAAATAATTAGGATATTAAGTAAAGATCATGTTCCATGAAGATATTTTGTAAATTTCCAACGGTAAATATATCAAAACTTAATTAATGTTTAGTAATATGCATTGCTAAGGACTTCATTTGGACAACTTAGGAGAAAAAATGTGATTTTCTCAATATTTAGATTTTTTAATATTCTAGATTCCAGATTTTCAAATACTTGGGCCAAATATTGTCCTATCATAACAAACCATACATCAATGGAAAGCGTATTTATTCAGCTTTCAGATGATGTATAAATCTCAATTTTGAAAAACTTACACTTAAAACTGGTTTTGTGGTCCAGGGTCACAAATGAGTAATATTGTGAAATATTAAACCGATTTCAATTTAATAAATATAATTTATCCCTATGATGGCAAAGCTGAATTTTCAGCAGTCATTACTCCAGTCTTCCGTGTCACATGATCTTTTATAAATCACCCTAATATGCTCTAATATTCTAATTTGGTGCTCAAGAAACATTTATTATTATTAATGATGAAAACAGTTGTGCTGCTTAATATGGTGAACCTTGTTCAATGTTAACTGATGGCATCTGGAAAACATGTTCAGAGTTCACAATGCTTATAAATTGGCCACTTATTTTTGTGCTCTCAGTGATTTCAATTCAATCAAAATCAGTTAAAAATGATTATGGAATTGGATTCGGGAGTTGAGGAGCCTAGGCATAGCAACTAATAGCACTGATGCCCAGCAGGTGTCCCTCTTACTGTTTGAAGCAGTGAGCTGCAGTGAGCAGCCAGCAGGAGTTGATGAGAGTGGCTCCGCACAGAGGCTGATTCCCTTTAGATTGAGATCTGAGCCACAGGGACGCCTGCCAGGGCCAGTCACCCCTGTGGGGTATACATATGTGCACAAACTCACACACACACGCACACACACAAACAAACAAACAAACAAACAAACACATACAGACACAAACACAATGGATGTGGTGGAGAAATAGAGTCATATTTATCTGCAGTAAAAGAACAGTTTTAATTAGAGAGTGTCAGCATTGAATTTTAACAATCAAAGAACTTATAAACACAATTCAAATTTAAAGCATATTCATTTTTAGATGTTAAAATTAATTACTATAAAAAAATAATTTTAGCTTAATACTTAGAAACAACTGGTAAAGTAGGCTATTTCTATGTCGGTTAACCCAAAAAGTATAATCACTGAGGGTCTGTAGTGAGATAAAAAAACAAAACAAAACAGAAACATTGGCTCAACCTATTGTAGTATTTAAACACTATTGCAGTATTTATTGATATTTTGAATGAGCTTTTATTTTTATATTTTAAATTTTTTTTAGTTTTAGTAATTTTGATGTTTTTATTAGTTATTTTTATTTTTATATATTAGTTTTATATATTTATATATATATATATATATACTTAAATTTGTTTTGTTTCAGTTAGTTGAAAAGGCAACATTTCAAATTTTTGTTTTTCATATGATTTGACTTCTGATTTTTGTTTTTCTTTAAATATATATTTCTTTTTATTTAAACTTTATTACAATTACCAAAACCAATGTTTAATAGTTTTAGATTTGGTTAACAATAACAACACTGCAATGGCATGAGTTTGAGGTGAAATCGGTTTAATTGCATATGCACTGTAATATATATATATATATATACCATACAAACAAACACACACACACTTTTTATGTATTAATTATTTGAATTTAATTTAATTTAATTTTTTATTTTTTAAGTTGTAAATAAAGATTACTGGAGCATGTTTAACAAGAAAATACTATTTCAGTCTTTCTACTTCACAAAATTGTGTTACTTTCTGTTTCCTTGTAATTATTTGTTAAATTTACTAGCAATTTCTGAGTGAAAATTGTTTGAAAGTACTTTTTGTCCAGTGTGGGGTATCTGGAAAGTTGTTAGAAACTATTTTAGTTATAATTATAATTTCAAACATTTTAATGAATTCATTTTCGGACAATAGTAAACATCTTAAATTAAGCATGATCTTTATATGCAATAAAATAAATTGTATCTGAACAAATGTCCACAACATGTGCTCTAGAACTGATTCAACAGCAGTAAAATTTAGATGACTGCTTACCTGAGAGATTTATATCCTCCAACAATCCTCTTGCTGCGTCTCTCAGCGCCGGCTCTCAAACCGCAGGTGTGTGTGCCCACCACTGCTATGTCAGCCTCTGGCTCTGGCAAATAATCACACACCACACCTGCATCCTGTCCATGCTTACAAGCGTAGCTGTCTTGTCCTTTATAAGGGCACTCTCCGAGGAGCGACTCCTTCCCAGTGCACCTCACATTGGTCAGATGGATGGTCCCCTTCCCTGCTCCGAAATAACCCATCGGTCGTGCTTTTGACACCCCACTGCCATAGAGAGCAAAACAAACATTCCAAGACTTTTCTTCTACTCAGCTATCTGCATTCATCGTGCCTAAGAAATAATAAATCATATTCCATAGTACTGATTATAAGATGCTTTTGAGCTATTTTGTACGATGGCCGAGAAGTGCAAAGCAAATCACAATTCTGAAAACAAAATAACAAATTACAAACGCAAATGCAAGTCTAAAAAACAAAATAACAATTCAGAAAGCACAACAACAATTCAGAAAACATTATAACAAGTCAGAAAACACAACGACAAATCAGACAAACCGGAAAAGGTAGGTATAGTTTGAGACAGCGCCATTGGTTTGGGATTACTCACCGCTGACTGGACGAGACATCTGTCAATCAACGTATACAAGAAGAACCAGCCGAAGAACAGCAGAGTCCTGGTAGAAAGTTCGGAGATGGTATTAAAGTAGCTCTGTTTAAATGTATTGTATGAATTGCCCTTACTATGGAATAAAAAATACGCTTATAATACGTTTAAATAAGCGCTTGTCGTTGGCTTTTTGACGCAATCGACCCGGGTTCGATCCCGCCTTTTGCCGAACTTTTTTTTCT